AGTAGTAACAAGAAGCTATTAGGAACAAGTGCATCGCTTCTAGTAACTTACTAGTAGTAACAAGAAGCTATTAGGAACATGGGCACAGGAATTGCAGACCCACACGGTTTGGTTGAGAATCTCTCACAGAAATGCTATATGCACACGCAGGTAGACATGGTGCACACGCAGGTATCTGGACCTTTTACACAAAATAACAAAATAGGAATAACATAGGCAACAGAAAGAAAACCGTGCTGACAGTTTCACAATTTGGCCAGCTTGGACAGGAGAGTTTGTACTTTAAGACATTCTCAGACAGCTGTTTTTTTTGAACCAATGCATGGACAGAAGTGGTACAGTATCACAAAGTTTTTTTTCGCTCCATGGTCCTTGAGATGTGCAACTTGAGGCATTTCACCTGGATCAGACTGCGAATCAGAAGCTGCCAGCACAAACAGTCTTGTCGAGAAAGGCCTGCTATGCTGTATAGCTGCCCAAAACTCTCTCCAACCGGCTGGTTCTGTGTGACGCGCAGTGACACACATATGGTGAATGCCAAGGAATCCAAATCGGCGTGTGAAGGACAACAGTGTCTCGTGTCGCATCGAAGCCACCAAGTTGGTGGGCCCAGAGCCTTGGAGAGTTTCAGCAGCTTCTAGCTACTAGTCGTTTTGCCACTTGTTTTTAGTAGCAACAAGAAAACTTCGGTTTTGGTGTTTAGAGCGCGGGCTAAAATGCATTTTTGCAACTGTTTAAGGGAGCGCAAAGGGCAAACATTGAAACATGTGATTTCATAATTTTGCATTTTCTTGGTTGTGGGGATGAACCGAGTGAAGCGATTCGGGAAGTGGCTGCTATACTAGAAGGCACTGTAAGCACTATTATTTGTCCACACTGGTGTGGATCAGGACTAAGACTGCATCACGGAAACAGCTCACGCATTCTGAAAGAGTGAAGGGCAAACAAAATCTGCCACATCAGCCATTTCTGATCTCGAATTATCCGAGTTGTTGATTGAAT